CTGATCGTGCTCAAAATTTCTCAACATACTTGCTGTATGTCGAAGTGTGCCTGCCAGTGTTAATTTTGTCAGCTTTTTTTATTTAGTCTTAGTCTTAATGACAAAAATCTATTTTAGTCTTAGTCATATTTAGTCATTGCCTTCCCACTTTTAGTCTTAGTCTAAAATACGAAAATCAATTTTAGTCTTAGTCAAATTTTTGTAATTTTTGTTGTTTTAGTCAACACTGTAAATAAGAACTTCTCCAAAAACCGCTTCTCTTTGTGACATATGTAGCTTACTGTACAGAATAGAACTTCTCCACACACTGATTCTTTTTTTTTTAAACATATCAATCTGCACACATTGAACCTTTTGTCGGCTTGTTTCATCATATCCACAAAGTCTTCATCCTCAATGGTCCTTGCAGGCAGGCCAGAACGCCCAATCTACTTTGCCATTGAGTTCTCCAGGACTTTCTGCTCTTTGGCGTCAGGTTGGGAGTCTCCCAACATCTCTGCAACAGACTTCCCTTCCTTCCCCAACGTCTGATCTGGCTGTGGTGTCACTGTGTCGGGTATCTAGTTGACATTTAAACGATTAATATCCAGTCTATCAGTAGAACTTCTTTCTTCTATGACAGAGAGACAGACAGATACATGCACAGGAAGGCACACACACACACACACACCTACATGCATTTGCACCCGCGCACACAACTTCACATGCATGCAACCGCGTCCACACACACACGTGCGGTACTGCTACTACAGGCCCACCCGTTCCTTATTTTTTTCTGTATGGCAGCATGTTGGCACCTCCGAATTCACTTGCGATTCGTGTTCTTCCCTGCCATTTTGAAGCCGCAGACTCTTTGGTGGCGTCCATCCAGGTGTTGTTTTCACCCAGCTCCTCCAAAGAAACGGTACGCCACAAACGATGACTTTGAATTTGAGCTAGAAGTATAGCATTAGCGGCTATCATTAGAATAACTGTTTTTACTGTGACCCAAAAAGTTAAATTTACAAAAATAAAGTCTGAGCTCATAGAAAAAAAGGTTAAAAAAAAACAGGATTTAACTGCAAAAATATGTAACTAAACCAACTGATTGCACAAATGAAACATATGTGACGAAACAGACAAATGACACACACAAGGATAAACACATACACACACACTGATAAAAACCCTCACAAGAAATAATACGATACAGTTCAGTTTTTTTAAGCTAAATTACATCAAAGAAGGAAATGAAAACCCATTAAACTGTAAACACAGCATTCATAAGTTAAACAAAAAGAACAGAAAAAAAACTAAAAGATTCCCCTGTCCAGCAAGAGCTGGGGGTGCAGTCCAATTAGTGCTGTTCAGGTGCTCTGAAACCTGACAGCCATCTTGGTGAGGGAAAGATTGAAAGTCCAGAAATCAAATTGAAAGTAAGACTGGAAGAGTTGATAACCAGAACAAGAATCAAGTCTAAAAAAACAAGAAAAAAACAAATGTATTCAAACCAATGAATTGAAATATTGCAAATGACCCACTCGGCCGGGGTTTTGGCCTTCAAACAGTCTTGTTTTTCAGTCTTTAACAGTGGAGAGTATCATGATCTAAGCTGGAACTGGGATTGACATGACATTGCATCCACATATAGATGTACTTCCTGTTTTTAGCAAGCCTGACTGAAAAGATTCCTTTTGACTCAGTGGGTTTTGAAATTCTCCTCTCTGAAAAACTACAATAAAGGCTGATTTTGATTGATTTTTTTTACACACTTATAGGTTTTTTCTTAATTACGATTGTGGATTTTTAAGCTGAAACAGCTATTTGTTGGACCTTTTTTGATCCATATGAAGTAGCAATAGTCAAAACTCAGTTCAACGTTAAACAAGTCTGACTTGAATATGTTACAAGGCATACATGTTTAAGGGAAGGATTTATTTTGACTCTGAAATAGTCAGTTAAAGCTCACTAATGTAACCAATAATTTCCATTTTTAGTGTTTAAAAAAAGAAATAGAGAACTGTGCGATTTGCTTCTGTGCATTCAAATTAGTTTCACATTGTTCAAAGTGTTTTAGTGAGAACATAAAGCTGCCGTGAGCATGCCATGCAGGCAGCTGTATGTTGCGAATGAGCTTGCAATACTGATAAGGTAATTGACATAAACAAGAGGGACTTAAATGCACATTGGAAGCAAGCAGCTTGTGGCAAAGTGCAGAGAGAGGAAGCTCTCAGGCCACGTGCAGTAGGAACTCATGCTGCTGCTAAACACCCCCTTCAAACAGAGAAAGAAAGAGGTGGAAACAGAGAGAGACAAATGGCCTCCTTCTCCCAGAGTCATGTAATTATAAACCCACCAGGAGCTGCTTTACCAGCTACAACTGTTGCAGTCCACAGCAGCCTCCTACAGATACCACTTTTCTGTACATTTCTTTAGCAGCATATTTTAAACCCATCTGTTTCCAGCCTTGCTACTTCCAACTACAAAGATGTTTTCATTGTGTTGAATAATTGAATTACATGGGGAAACACAGAGATGGTACATGCTCAGTGAGCGTGCATCCAGTGCACATCATCGTGGCACTAATTGCAGCTGCCTAGATGCATTGTGCCACATCCAATCTACCGATGCTGGAGGCCCATTGTGGCATTTAAAATGAGATTCTTTTGATTTAGCATTAAATCATTTACATCGTTCTTGCATAACAGTGATGGTTTAGAGACGTCAGAGCCCTCACTACTAAAAATATCTGAATCAATCAATAATGCAAAAGGCTGCTTTTAGAAGTGCAGTCTTTCTTCATCATGGCAGCTGGCTGCTTTGACCTCAGCTGGCTGAGTTTCTGTGAGTCATTCAAAGTTGGTGCACCTGCACTACATCTTTAATGGAGTTACAGGGAGTAATACAACATGACTGGGATTTTTCATATTACTCATGACTTCTCAGGGTTGAATAAGAAATCTCAGTTTTTTAAAATCCCTCTTTTAGACTAATAATCACACAAGAAAATTAGTTCCAGAAAATAGGAAACTTTGGTTTAGTTTTAATTCTAAGTAAAGATTTTTACAACCAAGCATCTAAGTCTGAAAACAACAGGCCTCAGGATTATTGGACCCCAGATGTAACTAATCCTAATTCCAAAGCACACTTTAGATTTAATATAATTTGAGAATATATATTTCTAACTGGTCATAGCTAAATAAAACTTATGCAAATATCAAACCTTCTCTAAACATAGGTTGAGTTTTTGTCATTTTTTTCAGGTCAGCATTTTAGCTCCTTTTTTCATTAAAAAGAAAACTTAAGCAACGCCTCCTACAGAGGCCAGTGATTGGTTCTGGCCCTTCGACCTTTGCCACAGTCCCTATAACAACAAACCAAAAAAATAAATAAAACTACCTTCTTTTTTGTTTTAACTTGTGTAAACAGAGAAAGTATCCAGTGCAGTAATGTCAGCAGTCATGAAGAACAACTTCTACAGCTTTTCTTCAAACTGCTTCCATCATCCAGTCGGTTCAGTTGAACTCAACTTCTGCCCTCAGCTAAGTCATGATTATGGTGCTGATTCATTTCCCAGGAAGAGAGATGATTAATCTGTCTGTCTTATTCTTCTGTGACAGTTTTTACAAAAACTGGAATAATCGCTCAGACTCAGACACTGTTTGTGTTGAAGTCTAAACAGTTCAGTATGAATATTGATTGTTTTCCTGGTTGTTTGTTGTTTGTTCATAAAGCAGCACAGTAATCTACGGAAGCCCAGAGTGGTCATGTCCCTCCGATACTTTTTTACGGTGGTTTTCTCGAGAAAAAGAGTTAATTTTCTCATTTGCTAAAGCTAAAGAAAGCCGTTTTCTTGTGATAACGAGATGATTGGTGTGTTTAAACTGATTACATCCTTTTAATACCACAACAGCAGGAGAGGATTTATAAATATGAGTCATGGCAGCCTGTGTGTCATTCTGTAAATAATCCCGTGTTTAACTTTTAGGTAGCAAGACAATGTTGTTTGTTTCATGATTTGCTTCCACTTCTGATTCCTAAGCAATTAGACCTATGCCTCCAAGTGTTTTCTCAACAGCCCCGCTGTTTCGCCTGTAACAGGTATAACATGCATTGAACCCCAAAAATTAGCCCAGGTTAAAGATTTTCATTAAAGTCTGGTTTGTTTCTACTGTATCCCATGGAATCCAATCATCCACCATAACCTGGCAATGAGTGAAAAGAAAAAGAACACAAAAAAAACGGATTATTTGCGCACATGCAGTGCCACTACTGCGCTATGGGCCCCGCAGGCACGGATGGACTGGGAATCCAGGGCATTTTGTCAGCCTCATTCATTACTCATACAGGTTAATCATCTCGCTAGCTCAAGGAATCGATAACTCTTTTCTCGTGATAACGAGATAATTATCTTGGTATCTCAGGAAAACAATTAATGACGTAACCGTGATAACGAGATAGTTACGTCATTATCTTAGGAAGGCAAAGGAAGAAAAAAAAAGTCGAGTACGACCGCTCTCAGCTTCCATAGTAATGAGTTGATCCATCATGAAAAGAAACTGGACTTTAAAGGAACAAAGCTTTCTGGTTTCTGTCAGGATGGAATGTTTGGAGTTAGGTAGCAGGATATCCTGTTTGCTGATAATCCTGTTTATCTTTTTTAATACAGGATTTATCAATTAATGATTGATGATTCCTACGGTTGGTGCTTTTGCTGAAGTATTCAGATGTCTTAGTTATATTGTAATAGAAGTGCAACCAAAGTAAGACGAATCTTGATATCATTTTTCTGATGAATTACTAGTATTTTTAACGTAATTTAATGTAAACAATATCTTTTATCTTTTGTAATCCAATGCCAACCCCAAAAAATTTGCATAATATTTGAAAGTAATTGTTTTGTCTTTTAGCCCTATATTTAGAGCTGCAAATCTTACAAAATAGTTCACTGGATACTATTTTGTTGTTTGTTTTTTATCAGCGTTGATCCTCTGCAATGCTTGTTTTTAATCCGTTTTCAGGCCAATACGGTGAGAGACTCGATGGCCAAGTCTCTGTACAGCGCACTGTTCGACTGGATCGTTTTCAGGACGAACCACGCTCTGCTCAACAACAAGGACCTGGAGGACAAGTCCAAGGTAGGGTCAGGAACACGCTGGCTACATCTACATCACAAGGTTATCTTATTTAACTAAAAGACAGATTTATCTTTTGTCTTTCAGTTAAATAAGATACACAAAAAATCATGTTAATAAGTTTGTTCACTCGATAACTCAACCAAACACACAGCAGAATCATCCTTCCTAGAGAGATTTTTTTTTGTTTATTTTTAAAAGTAAATTTTTGCAGGATTTAATGGTCAATGGAAGCCCAGCTACTGTGGCTAAAGCATCAAGACTTGGATCTTCTAATGGTAAATGGATGCATCTCTGCAGCATCAGCCTTGGAACACGGTTCGCTCTCACTAAGTGAAAGCAGCAATACTTTTCCGCTCACTTTAGTTTAATGTAGATTAAAAGCTTCGGATTATTCACTGGAACATGAATAATAAGACACGGGAAATTGGACAAGACGTAGATAAAGCCACTCAACTTTCAGGACCAAAGCCGCACTTCCAAAGTGTTTTGCATCATCGTCTACTTTAGATTATGAAGAGGAGCTGTAGTCTGGGCTGTAAAATCTACCTCCAGACACAAGCAGCAAGCCTACATGCTTCATCCCTCTGTCTATTGTTGCTTCTCTAGTCTTTCATCATCCTCTTTGGACGGTGGGTGTGTTAGATTGGCAGCTGGCAAGTTGTGCCCAATGGGAGCATCTCACAAATTAGAAGCTGGGTGTGTTTGTTGGTGGGGTGGGGGGTGTATGCGTTCATCTGTCTGTGCCAGGAGCGTTTTGGCAGATGGCATCCAGTTCCCCTCAGCTCATGTTACTCCCTACAGCCGTCTAATGTCCCACTGTACGTCAGCCTCAGCGCTGACATCATCTGGGGCCAACCAGGTTGCACTTTGTATCAAGGTCACTGTTCTCCCGTTCAGTTTACGTTTTCCACCTGCGTTCATGTGTGTTTACGGTTAAATAAATAAAAAAACTGCCCCTTGGAGAGGAATAAAACGGGCAGATAGGAATAAAGTGAGTGAAATGATATTGGAAACAGCTTATGTAGTCCATTTCATAATTAAAGGCATTCGCTGAGCGACTGCCTCCTGGAGGTGGTGTGTAGGAAAGATGAATGACTGTATGAATCAAAGCAACATTTACAGAGCGAACTGCAGACCCAGGGCTGCCAGGAAAGAAAGACAGGCACCATTAAAAACTGTCCACATAAAAATGAGCAGAGGATCATAAAGCACAGCAAATATGTGTGACGTCCACAGAGCTGCTGCAACGTTGGTGTTTTATGTTGTGTTTCTCTACTACATGTCCTATAAAAGCAGGTGGAAATAAAATGCTGTTTGTATTTTCCCTCCAGCTCCTCTCCATAGGAGTGCTGGACATCTTTGGCTTTGAGGACTACGAGAACAACAGCTTTGAACAGTTCTGCATCAACTTCGCTAATGAGCGTCTCCAACACTACTTCAACCAACACATCTTCAAGCTGGAGCAGGTAAAAGATTCACTGCTTTCAGGTGTACTCAGAGGGAGAGGTCATGTGACCCAGAATCAAACTGCAGAAAAGTAGCTCTAAATAAGTCATTTTTTCTAAAAATAAATGCATTTTTTCTTGAATTGAGGACTTAAGTGAGACACTTTGCCAATGGAACAAGACAATTTAAATTTAAAATAAGAAGAAACAATTGTATTTTTTATTTCAAGTGCATATTATCTAATTATCTTATTTTAAGTGTAAAAAAAATCTCATTCCATTGGCAAATCATCTTATTTACCTGCTCAAATTAAGGGTAAATACACTTAATTTAAAATTGTATTTACTTATTTCTAGACCGTTTTTGCAATGCAAAGCTCCTCTCCTCTCCTCTCCTCTCCTCTCCATGCTTCATTTTACTACTTTCTTTTTTCATTATTTATTTTCCAATGTTTCTGCTTTTCTTTCCTTTCCTAAACCTATTTTTTTTTATTTTCCTATTGTTATTTTTTGACAAGGTTAGACTTAATCTTTAGTTTTTAAGCATGTGTGCACGGATAGCCTCCAGCTCCCTTGATAGCCTGATGTCAGTGGATTAATTTCCCTCCTGCTTCTGTTACAAACTGCTCAGAAATGCTTTTGTGTTTGTGATAAATGAAGCTGGTGGAGTAAAGGAGCGACCCGCCTGTGGTTGTTCTTCACATGTTGCTCTGGTCAAAATGAACATCTGTCTGAATAGTGAGGAGCTCTGAAAGCACTGCAGAGCAATCAGACGCAGAAAATGTCGGTTCAAACCGACTTTGATTTTCAAGTCAGGGCCTTCTGGTGACGGCCGTGATAAAGAGCGCTAGCATCAAAGTCAACCATACTAACAGAAGAAGGATAATGCAGCAGAAATGCAGGGGAAACAAAAGAAGCTGACATTAAAATCTGTTTTCTCCAGCTTTCATGAAAGCATGCATTAGCATTAGCATGCTAGGCCTCAATAAGGTCTTCCTGTTCTTTTAGTAAAATTAATCCTGTTTGACACCTTTAAAAGTCTAAATATCGCTTTGAGTAGCACCATATTTCTGACCCTGACAGTAAACATGGAGCTTTGTTGGATTAGCTTCCTTAAAGGTGAAGAGAAGTGTTGCTGTACCGCAGTCAGGCGGCCATTTTCCCGTCTTGTTTTATTCGTACTAAACTTTACAGACTCCATCTTTCATCCTCCTTCTCCAATGTAGATTTCAATCTCTTCTTCACCACATCGTCCATATTATTTCACTTCGTAATCACCCTTTTTCTAAATAAAGAAGCGTTTTGCTCAAAATACGGATTTGTTTTTACTGAACCTGTATTTCACCCCCCTTAACAATGATGCTCCTAAATAAAAACAGTGCAACCAGATGCCTTCAGATTATGTTTATCTGTTAAAATGAGTCCAGCTGTTAAAATGATCTGCTCCATGAACATTAGTGAGCTGTACTTTGTGTAATTAAATCTCATTGTAACTCCAGTAATCAAAAAATGGCTGAGTTGACAATGATCATCATGATGACCAAAAAGTTCAGCAAATAGGTCGGCCAAGAATAGAAGAGGGTTGGGTTTGAAATCTTTATCCCGAGCTTTGACTGTTTCATTTCACCCTCTTTTAATGCATTAGCAGAAGTTGGAAAACAATCTGGCACAACCCAATCAAGATGCGAGCCTCCTCCTACAACACATTAATCTTTGCTTCAGCCCACAGTGACTCTGGAAAAGCTGCTGAAACCAAACCAGAGATCCATAGCAGGCCTACAACAGATTTTTATTTGTAAAAAAAAAAAAAAAAAAAAAAAAAAAAAAAAGGTTTAAAACATTGGATTTTTTTTTCCTTCCACATCTATATGCTCTTCTTGGTCTACCTTAAAGGAGAAGTCCGGTGATATTCAGAATTCAAACTTCTGAAAGTCCTTTAACTCTGAGATTATTACATCCTGTTCAATAAATGATCAGTGTTTTTAATTAAGAGTCATTTTTATTTGAATTTTTTGTCAAAGAACACTACTGCCACCTACTGGTTTGTGACGTCATGGTGCGGTATTGGCTGTTGATCAAGTCCCAGTGCTGTATCTGGTGTTTGTCACAACGCGCTATTATCCAAGTCATCTTGAAAACATTCTTCTTCCAAATGTTGGCTACATATTACGTGTTTTTTCTCTTTGATGGCAAATCCTCCCTCTTCAAGTTGGCAATCCAACGACCAACCGGTCCGTGGAGGATCATGGAATTGAAAGGTGAAATAACCTTTTTTTATTGTTTTGACTTT